TTCAAATGATGTGTTTGTGCCATGTCATGTGTTTGATTATGTGGGGTGGGTCTCAAGCTGGCACCCCTACACCATTTTGAGAATGAAAAGTGGGTGGGTGGGCTCAGCTTTTAATGGCTCATAAAATTCTGAAATTGAGCTCAGCTAGCAATGGCTAAGGTATTCCATAAAGGTAAAGGTAAAGGGACCCCTGACCATTAGGTCCAGTCGTGACCGACTCTGGGGTTGCAGCGCTCATCTCGCTTTACTGGCCGAGGGAGACGGCGTACAGCTTCCAGGTCATGTGTCCAGCATGACTAAGCTGCTTCTGGCGAAACCAGAGCAGCGCACGGAAACGCCGTTTACCTTCCCGCCGGAGTGGTACCTATTTATCTACTTGCACTTTGATGTGCTTTTGAACTGCTAGGTTGGCAGGAGCAGGGACCGAGCAACAGGTATTCCATATGTGAGGTTAAATTCTCTCACACACAAACACTTGCAATCTTGCTCTCCATTGCTATTTCTGCAGAATGCGTTACATCAGGAAGGTGGTGGTTTGTTTTAAGACCTAGAAAAAGGTGGCCTTTAAATGAAGACAGCATCCTCCGTCGCAGACTTTTGAAACCAGGCCACTTTCCAGATATTTCAGCCAACAGATTCCCCCCCCCCCTTTGTTGCTAGCAGGAAAGATGATCTCCAAAGTGGTTCCATGCAGGATTTGCTAAATGTGTTTCTAATTGTCATACTTTAATAACTGATAATATAGACTTGCTTGCAAATCTTTCTTTTACATAAAGGATAATTGTGCCTGAGTCAAGTACGGTCTGAAATTAAATGTGTTAAGTGCTCCAGGGGCTGCTTTGTACGTGACATGAAATTGCATTATTCCTGATAAATGTATTAATCTGTGTGTCAGAAATCTATAAAAGGGATGCTTTGTTAGTGTTCCAAGGGCCCCAAGATGCAGTAGTAGTGATCTTGGAGCATTAGTAATAAGAAGCAGGACTAGATTAACTGTAATGAACTAGCGATGTCAAAATTTGTAATTATCTGATTCGAGATACAAATTTGTTCAGCTCATGATGCTTGGGATGGTGGGGGTAATTTTCCCAGAGTCAGAGGAAGTAGTGTGTCTAGCTGAAGCCAGCAGTGGACAGGACCAGACCTAAAAGAGGATGAGGGCATACAAAAAGTGGGGACAGTACAGTACCTTCTGAAATGATTCATTCTGGTGCCCAGTTCTCAGCAATGCACTGAATGTCCTTGCCATGCATTATACATACCCTCCAAAATTTTGCTGATGAAAATAGGGATGTCCCATTCCATAATGATATTTTTACTATTTATACCCCACATATCTTACTGGGTTGCCCCAGCCAATCTGGGCAGCTTCCAACATATATAATGACATAATAAAACATTAAACATTTTTTTAAAACCCTTCCCTATACAGGGTTGCCGTCAGACGGCTCGGAGGTCAGATAACTCCATACCCTCCAGCTTTTCTCCAATGAAAATAGGGACATCCTAAGGAAAAGTGGGACATTCCAGGATCAAATCAGAAACTGGGACGGCTTCTATAAATCAGGGACGTCCCTGGAAAATAGGGACACTTGGAGGGTCTGCATTATATAAGAAAAGTCTCAGCTGCATTTTTAACAATAACATTTGATATGCTTACCCAACTGTTGTCAAGTATAACCAACACTTATTTAATAAGAATGTGTTACCGTTCCCCCCCCCCCAGCATCAAGTGCTTTTTCAGTTAGCTCCCACATGATGTGGGAGTGCTGTTATAATCTGTAGGCATTCTCTTTCTCTTTCATCTATTTATCTTGGGTTTTTGTTCATTCACTGGATGCTACTCACATTGGAGAGTTTCAGTCCAATACAATTAGCCAGCTCAATTTAGTCTGCTCAATGCAAATCGCAGAGCTTTTGCTCGGACCTAATGAGACACAAATCAATAGAAGTCAATTCAAAATAATTAGCCTCTGTATAAATCAGTAGGGCTCAATTAAAATCAATGAGGACCTTATTTTATCTAATAACTGGCCTCTTCATCCCTTCAGATATTATGAACGAAGATTTGATGTAGCAGACCTCTATGGTTTTGGTTCTGCGTGTGTCTACATTATAAAGGGTTGGGGGTTTGTAAAACCTGCCTCCTTTCTTCCCCAGAGCTTCCTGGCATTGATGCCCCACATTCCTAAATATCCACTGTATCTCAGGTACACGTGTTTTTCTTAACAGCTTCTGCAGAAGTGGGTTTCTCATCTACCTTCTCAAGTAATGCAAACTGATGTTCATTTATAATGCTGGACTGTTGCATGTGCATTGACATTTACCTATGCAAATGTAGCAGCAATATTGCTAGTTTACATTCCATTTGGCCGCCTTGCATTAATGCACAAGGACATATGGAGAAAGAGAGAACAACAAGGCTGGATTTCCAAGCAAATGTACATAAAGAAACCTTGGAAGTGCTAAGTTCAGGCTTAAGAAATGCTCTTTTCATCTCTGTGCTGAAAGCTAGGCTTTGCCCATAGACTTTCTTTCCACCTCTAGTAATATGTAACGGCACATAATCCAGCCTTCTTGATGGTCCAGCTCTCACTTCCATACATCACTACTGGGAAAACCATAGCTTTAACTATACGGACCTTTGTCGGCAAGGTGATGTCTCTGCTTTTTAAGATGCTGTCTAGGTTTGTCATTAACAAAGGTTCCTTAACTATGTCATAGAGCTTTGGATTCCCTGATCTCTTTTGCTTTTCAATCTTCCTCATTCTCAGTCTTGAGGATATTTAACTTTTAATCCTCCTATCCGAGCAACAAGAAAGCCAGTCAAATTATAGATCAGAATCTTCACAGGTGTCTCCAGTACCTTCTCTAAAGCGTTCTGTCATGTTTGGCTTCAGTTATTTCTGAATTGCCTCCTCCTCTCCTCTAATTCCCGCTGGAGTTCAAAGATTGTCGTAAGAGTGACTCATTCACAGTTCAGAGGACAACTAGATGGGTATGAAATAAGCAGGTGGTCCGAAGAAAGCAGTTGGCTAATTGGAGATGAAGGCTGAACTCTAAACAACATCAGAGACATAAGTGGATGTAGAAGTGGGAAGAGGAAAACGCTCAGAAAAACAAGGTCATCATTAAGGCTTTGAAAAGGTGGATGCAGAAAAGGGAAAACGACAGGAAGAGAATGTCAAGAAACAGTTGAGCCAGGGACTTCAATTTGGCCAAATGCCAATGAGAACAGGACTCTAGTGCTTTAAACGGTTTGGTAGAACAGATAATTTTGGCAGCTCATCCTGCAGGGCTGAGAAAAATCACACTGCTGAAATTCCTTCTCTACCCATCTAATGAGAGTAGGGGACTCCTGGTGTCCTTTGCATCTGATCACCCCAGGGACTTAATTGGCTTTTTGGAGTTGGAAGAGAGCTTGGAGATAATCTGGTTCAGCCAGCTGATGAATTCAGGAATCTGCAACTGCATGGCAAGGTTTTGATGGAGCACTGCATTTTCGCTTTACAGAATACAGATTGTTTCAAAAAGTGCAAATTAAGTAGGTTTCCCATCCCAGTGTGGATGGAAATCCAGTTTTCCCCATGTCCCTAGTTCTGCCCTTTTGTAACATTGCCTTAAGGAGGCCTGCAGGAGGATTTCAAATTTGCACCCAAATGAGAGGCAGCCATCCTTTAAAATGCGCACTTCCCCAGATTTTGCAGTGCGCTTCTCCACACAAGTAATGTGTCTACACACACACACACACACACACACACACACACACACATATACTAGGGTAAAGTGTGCACAAAAACGCAAATATTAGAGACAATGACAGACCAAAAAAACCCATTCTGTTAGGAAAATGGTTTTGCAAAAATGCATATAGCAGGTGAAAATACAAAGAAAATAATGGGTACACTGGGAGAAATTTGGTACCAGATTTTTAGAAGGACTCTTTAAAAATGTAAAGTATTTTTTAAAAAAGAAAAAGGGTAAATAAGAAGCCAAGAGTAAAAGAAATGGACAGATTGCCCATCCCTAGGCAGAACCACAAGCAAGGCTATAAATCCCTAACAGCAACATCAGCCTCAGCCAAGGCTGAGTGACAGCAGTGCCCGCCCTCATCTTCTAGCGTCACACTGTGTTGGAAGGTCCCATTTCTAGAGCTGTTCAAAGCAAATTGGACTGTATGCTGTCATTAATTGTTTCTGTAGCTAGCACAAACAGATATTTTCCACATCCCAAGGTGAAACAAAGCTTAATTAAAACCTCATGCTGCCTTATTATCCCCCTATGGGATTTTTCGTTTGGCTTTGTTTAGTCTTCTTCCTGCCGAGTTTTGGCTTAATTTTTTAAAAAATGATTCTGTTTCCAAATAGAAATCGCTCTCAGCCGAGGCGGACCCACTGAGACTAGAAGGTCAAGAGACACGTGCTTGCCCACAATCTAGGGCCTGTATGTTTCTCTGAGGTGAACCTGGCATGGGAAAATCAAGACACATCTACTGGCTTTTCCTCACTGGAAATACTGAAGAATGATCCCGAGCCCAAGAGAGTGTATCAAGAGTAGGGCTGAGCTTTTCAAAGGGAAGTTCACCCCGGACATCTTTGGAATCCCAAGAACTGCATGCACTATGTATACTTTGTGACATGTCAAAAGACAAGGACATCTGCTTTTGGAGGACAAGAGTAGGAATAAAACCAGAGGCCATAGCTGCCATTCTCTGTCCTCCAGCGCAAGGGCTCTTGCAACAGTGGCTAGCTTACCTTTAACGTTGTGCAACAGGGGAATCCTGTGCAAAAGCTGTGCTAGAAAAACTTGTGTAGCCTATCTCTTGCCCAACAAAGTTAGCAGCAACCTACTTATGCATTCTCTTGCACACAAAGTGTTACACCAGCGGAACAAGTAACTAACTTAGTGTTGCATTGGATATATCCATGGATCACCAAATTATATCCTTTCCTTTATGAATAGATGTCTTGATCTGTGGATAAGATTGGCCAGATTTTGATCTTGGGAGGTGATCCTCCCCCAGATAGATCGCATAATGCATTATGCGATCTATCTGGGGGAGGAAGCCCTTCGGTTTTGGGTAAATACAAGTTTTTGAGGAATTATTTTATTTATTTATTTTTTTATAAAATGATATTTATTAAGCATTTTAAAGTTACAGAAAAAACAAAGAGACAAAGAAGAAGGAAAAAAAACAAGGGAAATGCAAACAGCAGTCAAACAATACAAATCAATAAAAAAAACAAAAAAACAAAGACAAAACACATCATAATCCAAAAAACAAAAGTAAACCACAAACATTTAAAAACAGATCCAATATTCCCAAATCCTTAACTGTCATTGCCTTATTTCATCGACCTCCTCACACCTCCCTTTTTTTGTATTCCAGTTATTAATTATAACAGCAAATCCTTCCCATTTTTCATAATATTCTGTCATTAAATTACCTTAATCTATTTTAACCTTGTCTTACTATAAAAGACCCTAGAACTTAAAACTTAAATCTTATTTATACCAATTTCTCATAACCATAACATATTCTTGCATAGTTCTTTTTAACATTTCTGCTAAAGCCAAATAGTTTCATTCCAACATTTTTCTAATACTCATTAATTTTACAAAACAATCCTAAATATTTTTTTTTTAAAAAAAAAACTTTCTTCCAATCTTCATCCAACGTCTTTTCCTCCTGGTCCCGGGTTTTGTCAGTCCTTTCTGTCCCATCCATCTAGTTCATTAACCTGGTAATCTTATGTCCGAGGCCCTTAAGTCTCTTCCATGTCCCTTCTGCAGATCTTCTTCATATTTATACCTGTACTTTACTTTGTCTCCTGGTCCTTTCACCCGTGGAAACTCCAACTTGACAGTATTTTTGTCCCTTCTCGACAGATCAGCCCCTTTTCCATAATCCACACTGAACTCCATGTGGTATTTAAAAGCATGTTTCAAAGTCCCTCCAAAGTTGAGGACCCCCAACCCCAAACTCCTCACGGCCCATTGCCAGACTTGAAAAGTCAAGACATCCCTGCATAGGGGGGTCTATCCAGCCCCCCATCTCCAAGCCCAACAAAACTCTATCTCTCCAAATCTGGCTTTTTCCAAGTTCATTTGTCAAATCCAACACCTCATGTTCCTGCTGGGCCACAGCTCCCTCCATCTCTGCCACCTGAGGTCCAACAACAATCTCCTCCCTCATCTGATCTGTCAGAGCACACTCCTGAGTTGATTCCTGGGTGGGTTCTATATAGATACCCACTACCTGTCCAAAATTTCTAATCGCAACAGGCATCAAATCCGTCTTCTCGTGTAACTGTTCCAATAAAGCACTTGTCTTACAGAAAGCACACACCAGAGCCTCTGAATACATTGTTATGCAAGGTCAGAAGTCTGTTCCCAGGATCTTAATCTGTTTGCAGCTGCGAAGCTCCCCAGTTCAAGTTTAATAACAGTTTCACAAGCTCCCTCTAGGGGAAGAACTTCTATTTGTATCAATCTCTTTTCTTTTTTCTTTTTTTAACAGCAGATCTAACAACAAAGTTTCCTTTTTCAGATATTTTGTCAGTATTTGTTCCTTTAAAATGCGAAAGAGAACAATGGAATCACTATGTTTCTCTTCTTTTAACTATCTGTCAAAAACATTTGTCTATAGTCAATGAACTTCCCAAAAACGTCTGTCCTGACATCCTGCTCCCAGGTTCAAGACGGTGGAAAATTACTTTTCTTTACACTCTCTCCTGCAAGTTTAAACCATCCGGAAAAAATCCCCCCTCTTCTCCTGCTTCCGAAGGGGTTCAGTAGTTTTAGATGATGAAAGTTGATCCTTTACAAACGATTTTCTGAACTCTAGTTTGCCATGTCTTTGCTTTAATCTATCTACAAGAAACGGAAGGCTGACTTCCTGTTTAGACCTTCCCGCTTCAGTGCCAAATTAAGAAGAATTTCCTAATCCAATTTTCCCTTCTACTCACAGATCGTTGTTTAAAGTCCAATTGTCCAGATTTGATCTGCTCACGGGTAGTTGTTTTTGTAACCAAATTGTCCCAGGAAAAAGGTAGCGCTCTCCGGCAACGGTTGTGCGGCTTCGCTCCACGGAAGAAGCAGTTGACTCTCAGCACCGCGCCACTAGCCCCTCTTCGCTCCGGAGCCCGTAGTTGGGTTCCTTTACGGATTGGGGGGGCGCAAAAGGTGCCCGCCGAGTCCCATGGTCACAGGCTTCCTCCGCCTGTGATTTTTTGAAGGGTCCCCGCTTCGCCGTAGCGGAACAGACCCGTTTTCCGTGGAGCCAGTCCCTCCGGATCAGAGGGAGTCCGCCATTACCGATGGCACCACCCCGGAAGTTTTTGAGGAATTAGTAGCAAGCTCCAACCTTTTTTCTGGATTGGAACTTGCCGGTTCTGTAGTATGTCCCCATCAACCTTATGGTTCACCACCTCTCTAATACCCGTATTTCCAATTGGTTTCTTTCCAGGGCTCTGAGAAGTTACTTCCGTTGTTGTGTTTGTTTCAGAGCTCTGCTTCAGAGTTTCCTTCTCAGATGTTGACTGGGCCTTTGCCTTGTTTGGTCCTACTTTGCCTTTCTCTTTACTGCCCTGTGAGGTGGATTTATTTAAGCCAGGTGTAGAGGATGATGGAATTAGGTTGTAAAGTTTCTGCCATTGTTTTTTTTTTTGTTTTGTTTTTTGTGAGCACGATGGGTTATCTTCAATTTCCTTAGGTAAAAGGTAAAGGTAAAGGTACCCCTGCCCGTACGGGCCAGTCGTGTCCGACTCTAGGGTTGTGCGCCCATCTCACTTAAGAGGGCCAGCGCTGTCCGGAGACACTTCCGGGTCACGTGGCCAGCATGACGAAGCTGCTCTGGTGAGCCAGCACCAGTGCAGCACACGGAAACACCATTTACCTTCCTGCTATAGAGCGGTACCTATTTATCTACTTGCACTTAAGAGTGCTTTCGAACTGCTAGATGGGCAGAAGCTGGGACCGAAGGACGGGAGCTCACCCCGCCGCGGGGATTCGAACCTCTGACCATACGATCGGCAAGTCCTAGGCACTGAGGTTTTACCCACAGCGCCACCCGCGTCCCTCAATTTCCTTAGTGTTTTGATATTTTTGCTTTTCTTTTTCTTTGCTTCAGGTTTTTGCCTTTGTGATTTCTGGCTGGTTACTGGGCGATTTATATCAGCTGTTTCAGGGAGGTTGTTCGTTTGATCAATATTGTTTGGCTCAAATTATATCCACATTAAAGGGAATCCAGAGACATTGTGCTACAATGCCTTAAACCAGTGGTTTTCAACCAGTGTGCCATGGCACCCTGGGTGCCTTAAATAATGATCAGGGGTGCCACGGGCAACACTGGCCTCTGTCCCTCGTTCCTTCCCTCCTTCCTCTGATGCCCTCTCATGTCTCTATCCCCCAAAGACTTGCACAGCTGTTTATTGCAGCAGCCCTGGCTACAAGCTCCCCAGGCAAATGGTGCCTCTGGGGCTGGTCAGGGGGTGCTGGTTGCCAGGAGCTGATTTAGCCTAAGAGTAAGCAAGTAAGTGGGTGAGGGAGCCCAGCCTGCCAATCCACCAGCCCTTGCTGTTGGGAATGGACAGACAAGTCTCAGGCCCCTGTGGGGCAGTGCAAGGAAGCACCTCTGTTTGGGGTCGGGGGGCAGCTCAGAGACCAGGGGTGGAAGCAGTGGCTGCCCATAGGACTTCCACGGAGAGGGGCAAAGAGGCTGAGGGAACACTCCACAATGGAGAGTGTTTGAAAAAGGGTGAGAGGCTGCCAGCTCTGCGGGCAAGGGGTGGCTTAACTGGGCCCCAGAACCCCACAGGGGTGCCACACAAAAAATGTAGTCGGTCAAGGGAACCGTGGACTCAAAAAGGTTAAAAACATCTGCCTTAAACCACAGTTTGGTATGAAGGCATGTGATGCTGGAATCCTTCACTGCTGTCACATAGTCCACACAGGGCTCCTTTAAGAAATTGCAATTGGTGCAAAACCGACTTGAGTGCAATGGGCCACATTTTTGGAGCGTGTTACTCACTCTTGGTTCCAGTTCATTCCAAGGCATTGTTCAAAGTGCGTGTTATTATGTATGAAATCCTAAATGGCTGGAGACCAGGGTACTCAAAGGACCATTTCACCAACGTTTATCTACCCAACCATTGTGGTTTTGGAGCCCTTGTTCTACATTCTGTTGCCTTGAAGCAGCACTTTTGACTGGAAAAAGAAGGCTCCTTTTTCTACAGTACCTCCTAGGCTTGGTGCTGGAGGAGACTCTTGAGAGTCCCATGGACTGCAAGAAAATCAAATGTATCCATTCTTAAGGAAATCAGCCCTGAGTGCTCACTGGAAGGACATATCTTGAAGCTGAGGCCACCTCATGAGAAGAGAAGACTCCCTGGAAAAGACCCTGATGCTGGGAAAGATGGAGGGCACAAGGAGAAGGGGACGGCAGAGGATGAGATGGTTGGACAGTGTTCTCGAAGCTACCAGCATGAGTTTGACCAAATTGCGGGAGGCAGTGGAAGACAGGAGTGCCTGGCGTGCTCTGGTCCATGGGGTCATGAAGAGTCGGACACAACTAAACGACCAAACAACAACACCTCCTAGGCTGTGGAAACTCTCTCACTAAAGAAGCCTGGTTGCCTCTCACTCATGCAGCTTTTAGGGTTAAATAAAACCCCTTTTTATTTTGCCAAGCATTTTCTTAAATCTCTCTCTGCTGCTGGAATGATTTATTGCTCTGCATTAAAGCTGTTTATTATTTATTGTTAAAATTCTGAGTGTGTGTGCAATGGTAGATAGAGAGATAGATGCAAAGCTTTTTTTGGTTAAAAAAAGGAGAGAGGTGCCAATTCTGTGATGGGGCACTTCTGGTGGTTCCCCAGAACTCCTTACAAGTAGAGTTTTAGCAGAAACCATCTCTACCTTCTTTCAGATGTCGTCTGAAAATAACACATTTGACATGCTTCCACAATATGAGTTTTTCTTTAAACCATCTACTGAAGTTTAATTGATGTTTTGAATTATATTTTATAGATATTTATAGACTGATTTTATTGTTGTTGTTTTCTATGTTGTAAACT